AGGTTCGCACGAACCGGTGCGAACCGGCTGAATCCCACCACTGATTTAAACTATTAGCTGGGTGTTATTTATGTTTTTTATTTTATTTGATGTCTGTGGTTTTTTTCTACATACCTAATGTTAGTGGTCTTTCAATATGTGTGAATGTTATTGACCTGTACGTATGCATACTGTAACTCTTGATGTGTCTGACTTTAGTGGTCTTTCTGTTTATGCCAGTATTTTTGTTTTGTGTGTTCTTTGATGCTACTATGTTTTATTTGTTTTTGTGTAGTTAATATAAAAATACTGAAATTACAAAAGTTGTGGTTCTTAAAGTTATTAGTACATATATATTAATTTAAAACTGTTTTGAAAAAGGAAGACATTTCTTGTTTAAAATCCTCGATCATTTAATATTTTGATAGTTGATGAGTAGGATGGCACCTTTGGTTGGCAGAGAGGTGACTGAAAGGCTGTTTCTAGAAGGGTTTGGAAATCTTTGTCTTGATGCATCTTTTCATATCCGGAAGGTAAGATTTCCAAGGTTTGTAAGAATTCATTTTAAGATAATATGTTGTTATATAAAGTACACAAATTTTATGGTAAAAAACAATGATATATGATTTAGTGAAACAAAGGTATATGATATTATTAAACTAAAATAAATGCACTAATAAGACTGTAATACATGATACATATTATAAAAATATATGCAGTTGTAAAATTGCATTATGTACACTAGTAAAATTATGATATATATACATGTAAGTAATGTTATGACGTATGCAATAGCAAGATTACATCAAATGCATTAGTGAGATTGTTATTCAGTCATTTTATGATAAATACAAGAAGACTATATTTATATGGATACTAGTTTCAACATTTCACATGTACTCTTCAGTCCACTGTTTATTTATGGGAGAAACACATACAAACTACTCATTTTATAACAGAAGTTCCAATTCCTTGAATAGCATATGATGTCAGAATGGGATTCAACTTTAAGTGACCTTCAGATGTGTTGAAGTTTGGTAACCTTTGGATGAACAAACTTTATAGAATCCTTCTTTTGAGGTAATTTGTAGTTGTATGTATATGCTTATTTACAAATACTTCAATACATTAAAAAATTTTACCCTAAAAAAGTCTGCACCTCAAAATATAGAACAAACAGGGTGACTGGTAAGGGGGGGGGGGGGGTTCACGGGTCTGGCACTTCTTTTTTTTTTCTTATGAATAAAAATGGTTTATTATTGTTTATCAAAACACAGCATACAGGTTTCAGTAATTTGAGTTGCATTTATACTGGATTTATATGGCAAAATATCAGATATCCAGGCAACCTTCCAATCCATGTCAAATGAGCTATACAAGTAATATCATATTATACAGTCTGTAAAAGAGAGTATTTTTGTCACTATGTTCCTCAGGCATCATCTATGTGCAGCTATTGCGAGGTTTTGAATCACGACCTCAGGATGGTGTTGTATGTTACCAATGGCATTACTGTCATTATGGAATAGGAAGAGTTCTGAAAGTTTATTAATCCAAAGGTCGGTAAACTTGAACACATCTGAAAGTCACTTAAAGTTTAACCCTATTCTGACATCACATTCAAGGAGTTAAAACTTCTGTTATAAAATAACCAGTATATGTGTTTCTCTCTCAATTATTTGACTGAAGTGGATATGTGAAATGTTCTGAATAGTATCCTGATGTTTCGTTAGTGTGGAATTATTTTACACAGTATTCTATATTTACCTATTATTGCAAGAAGAAAAATATGATATTTTGTCATAGCATCCTCATATTGTTAATTATGTTTTATTCATTGCATTGTATATAGTGAAGTTATCAATCTTTGTTAAAACAAAGTTAAATTAGTTAGGAGTATTTAGAAAATACATTGATTTGTCACACTTATTTTGTCAAAATGTATATACATTTTTTACCACTCTTTTTGGACCCCCCCCCCCTACACACACTACATTTATTTGTATATCCAAACTCCACTGGTCATGTAATATCACACATCAGTCTGTTATTAGTGACAAGTGAAAGCAAATATGTGTGCTGCTAGGGAAAGTTGTGGCATAGGCAGAGAGAGGAACCAGGATGTCGGGGTGGGGTAGTGGTGGAAACATCAGGCTGCATATACACATGTCCACATTCTACCATATATTTTAAGGATTGCCCCTGGTAACTTTTTCCTCATCTGCCTGGAAATAATATTTCAAAGTCTCATGATTCCCAGTGATTCAACAGTAAACCTGAAGACTTATAGCACTAAAAAGTTGGTTTCAATACACATGATGGACACAACACAAATAGCCCATTGTGTAGCTTTGTGCTTAATAATAAATAAATAAAGTCACATATGACAGTCAATGATGGGTATGAAAAATGCTTATCTGAGATACAAACAATAAAGCACAGCCTCGTTGGTGCTTAGATTGCAAACTATGAACCTTAAATGACTGGAAGCATGTGATGTAGTCTGATTGGTTATATGTCAACCTTTTCAGTACTGACAGTAGAATAAAAGAATGGAGAGAGCCACCTGAAATACCCGACTTTATGTGTGTATTTCAAAAAATACAAACTGCTGGAGGTGGTGTAATAGTGTGAGTAATGTTTTTGTGGCATGTGCTTAGTTCTTTTATCCTTTTAGAAAATGAACAATCTCCAGAGTGTACATGAATACTATTGCTCATCATGGTGATCCCATATTATATGACAGTGGCTCAGAGAGTATTACAGTGACTTTAATCATCTTTTTTAACTAACAAAATCATCAGACCTGAATCAGATTAAGCACCACAAGATAAATTTAAATATTAAATTCATAATTCTCTGCCAGCATCTGTGAGCCTGTTGCAGACCATGTGCCTGGAATAATTGCATAAAGTTGAACAAGGTACTTTCCAGCATCTTGTGGAATGTATTTTTCACTAAGTTTTAGCTTATTATAGTAATGAAAGGTGGTTCAATTCAGTGGGTGTCATAATAAATCAGCTAGTTAGTGCATTAAGCAGTCATTGTGGAAATCAGCAAACTAAATAATGCAATACAAGTTATTTTAATTGTAAATTTATGGCTTGAAAATGCAGTGTAAATTTAAAACAAAAATTAATGTTTAGAGGCTATAGAGATATGTAGAGCTAACCAGGAAATGAATACTCACTGGAAGTTTGTAGTGTGCCTGATGTATGTCATAATGATATTAGTTGTTGGAAGTTAATTTTTTTTTGATTACAGACTAAACTAGTCCAAGTTGTTTTACATATTTGTAGAACTGGGCAATTAGTTGAATTTGATAATTAATTAGTTGTTGGGCTCATTAATCGATTACTTTCAACAAATCGTTTATTCTCACATTAGATTTGGATAGTTGGAATAATCAAAAATAGTATTAATAGGAAACACTGATATTAATTATTTGATTATTTTCATGAGTCGTGACTCATGACACCAATTAGTTCGGCAGAACAATCTTGAATTAATCAAAAATAATAATGACAAACTGTATTGGCAATATTTTGATTATTTGGATAGTTGAAATAATCAAAAATCATAATAATTGGAATCGTCATAAATTATATTATTTGATTATTTTTATGACATTAATTGAATTAATCATAATTTTTATTAATCTGTTATTTTATGTGACACTAATCAAAGGGATCTATGCTCATAGATAAATTTTTATTTTGATTAACTGAATTAATCAACCAACTCCACATATTTGACATAGTTGTAGAGAAATTGTTAATCTAATAGTGTGAAACTATTGTTCTTGCTGTAGGTTTTGTTATGTTTATTAAGTCTGTTTGCAATATTTGAAAAATTAGTTTATCAGAAAGAATTGAATATAACAAGTATTTAGTTTTAATTTCTCTAACCCGTATAAAACATCCTAAGTTACTTCCTATTTAAAATTGATAAAAAATGTAAATATAAAAAACATATTGTTTAAGTAGTGTATTAAATGTAATAATATGTCTAAAATATGCAAGTTGAATGAACTTAAAAAAAGTAATATCTCTGGCTAAACACTTGATAGTTTGTTCATATTTTGCAATTGAATTTTTTATTTCTTTTGTTTTACCATATTTTTCATCTTATTATACATCTCATTATTTCCAGTAATAATGTTTTTGCTTGATCTTAGATAGCTCATCTCAGAATACTGATCTCAACAGTTGATCATTAAATACATGATTTCAGGAAAGAAACTTGTGGAATTGTAAATGTGACAGAATTTCTGCATTCCAATTTTGATAACTTTCAAGTGTGGAAAGTTTAAATTTTTCATTGTTTGCTAATTTATTTTGGTCTGTATTTAAACTCAACATATTTTTAGGTATGTGCATCAAATTTTGGAGAGCTCAGTGGTGTGGTTGGACAATCAGTGACAGAGAAGATCTTGGTAAGAAGCAAATCCTTTGCCTAAAACATATTAAGACCATTACTTTAAAACTTAGCATTAAAGATTGGAACAGTCAAATCAGGTTTTTTAAAGTTTAGTGCATCTGTATATCAGTTGATACAGCTTTCCATATGTGCATCGTTGATATCATGACACAGTGTCGCAACAGGATCACTTCCACATGTTCATGTAAAGTTAATGACATCCTAACCAATTATATTTATATCTATGTGTGTGTATTATCCATAGTTCTCTAGTATCTGTACTATTGACTACACTGAAGATATATTTCTTCTAGAAATCTGTTTAGTTGGGTTCATTATCAGCACTTATATTCATATAAAAGTCGATAATTATTGTTATAATGGGTTTCATAAAATATATATAACAGCTTTGGTCTGTTTTATCACATGTTTGCAACATGTTAACATCAGAACTATATATCTGACTATAACATGGATATTGTCATTATTTTATTTCCAAAATAAGCACTTGTCCAGTACTTTTACTGTGGTTTGAGTTTGGATGAGCAAGCTTGTTGCTGATCATTTTAAAATGATCATGGGGTTTGTCACTTCTATATTAAATGCCAGTCTGGATAGTCTCTGTCTTCACATTGGTATGTTGGTTTTGATGATCACTTGAGTGGGCTTTTTGAGAATCCTAACTCACCAATCGCATCATATAGGAAAATAGAGCTGTTGCAAACCATATTTTAGCACAGATAGCCCGTTGTGTAGTTTTGTGCTTAATTACAAACAAACCATATTGTGGTAGGTCCTCTATCTGAGATCATGTCATTCCCCAATCAGCCTTTTGTTTTTAATATAGAGATTTTAGAGTTTAAAGTGATAAAAGTGATGTAGATGTTGCCCAGGAGCAGTTTTTATTTTGTATATGTAAAGTTTAACTGGCCATAATGATTTAAACTCAGTTTTATTTATTTATAACATTTAGTTGTTCTTAGTATGACTTATCTTTTTTTTGTACTTAATTTAAATTTAACATGATCCTTTGGTTCACTTAGTTTCTGCTGTTTCTTCAAAATTAGTTGTCTAAAGTAAAAATATAATTATTTTTGCTTATTGTGAAATTCTTAGTGCATCTGTTTTCTCATTCAAGATTGCTACAATCATGTTCATGTATTAAGTTCTTGGTATGTCACCTGAGAGATAATTATTCTTTGAAGTCAGAGTGCTGCATACTCTTTACTATGACTATTTGATAAATCTGAAAGCTAGGTTGTACTGTCTATTATATGACAATGTAATGTTTTTGAAGGTTAGGATAGACTCTAGTTGTGGCTGTTTGCTTATTCAAGAAGGAGAGGTTTAATGGCTTATTGTTTTTAATGTCCATGTTACTAAAGGTTAACTTATATAGCCTAATATACTGTTTACTAGTAAATTACATAAAGGTCTCTAAAACCCCTTGATCACTTCATTTTGGGGCCTTCTCATCACTCTTTCACCAACTTTTTCTTTTTCATTTGTGGTATCATGGGTAAGTAGAAGAGCAGATAAGTTAGGCCTGTCAACAACTGGAGGTTCTTGGATCTCAGTCTTGGGATTTCTCGACAACTTATAACAAATAGGTTGCAAAAAGTGATACCAAAACAAATGATTAATATCATTTTCTCAGTTAAAAATACACAATAGACAATACACTACTAACAATGCACTAAACAATGAAGTATAGGGCCAGTGACCATGTTGTGTAAGTCTGTGACTAATAACAGCTGAAGAAGACTTTAAAAGAAAATAGAAGCTCTTGCCAATGCATATAGGTTCTTTTTGTAAGGGTAACTGAGTGATATAAAGGAAAAGAAAATGTAACTGGAAACATACACAAGTTAAGTCAGATATCACATTACTTTAAACTAAGTAAATATTATATGTGAAATTCAAGATCTTACTTGGATTTCATCAATGAAGCTGTAAAACAACTCTAAACTGTAATTAGTGGGAACCAATGCTATACCCTAAATCTGTTCAAACTTACTGTAAACAAAGGCCTCAACAACACTGTAAATCTTGCTCACTTATGGTGAGCCACTTGAACCCTTAGCTCAATGTAACAATGAAAGTAAGAGCATAAAGAAAACGTGGTAGAAACCTTCAGTTTCTGCTAAATACTTACTAAATCACAAATTCAAAAACAGCAGAAAAAATTAAGGAAGACTGAAATTATGCAACCTCTGTGCTGTAATCTAGTAAATTCTGATGAAAATCTGTATAACTCTATGAAAATTATGTTTACTTCTGTATTAAAATCTATAAAAATTCTGCCCTCAACACTGCCATAAATATATGAATAAACTCTCAAGTTCTTTACACAAGAAAGTAGTGATTGATTCTTCTTATATCAGCTGGCCAATGAATGGGCAGTGAAGATCACGGACAGTTCCATATGCTACTACTATCTGGTTTGTTAACAAAAAAACTCAGCTTACTAATTAAAAATAACATTGTTATTCCTGTAAGAGAACCCAGATAAGCAACTTTACCTTCATTTAACCTAGTTTGCCACTTAGAGCAAAAGTTAGTAACTCACTTGAGACTTTCTTTGCCCAACTGGGAACTATGAAAAACAATGCAATTGTGAAAGTATTATTTTTTAACTAAAGGGGTGGAAGACATATAATGCATTCTTGTACTAAAAGTTTATGTTCTTTGGAGGTTGTGAACCTACAGCTAAAAGTCTCGAGTCATTTTATCAAAAATTATGATAAAAGTAAATATAGATATATATTTAGATAAAATTGAGAAATACTATACAGACATGTTAACCTTTATAGCCTTGTAAACTATCATTGCAGTTATATAGCCTAATATAATAACTGTATATTAAACTCAAGGTCATAGTGTAGCTCCATATGTTAGTGGTATACCAGAAATTAACTGCACCCATGATAGCTAGCATCTGTTCAGGGACCACTTAGGTTAAGAAGAGCCTCAGGTTTCATTATAGAACACCTTAACTTCCTCCAGTTTCCAGGAATCTAAGATTGTTCAAATGAAACTAATATTTTTACCTCGATGTGCTTCTAACTTGTTCAAGAAAATACTAAAGGCCAAATCATAAGACAAAACTTTGTAGATATAAGAGTAAACCTTCTCTACATCTTTTCTTAAAGAAAGGAAAAACTTTTACCCTTCTTGAAAATGGGCAAAAGTGAATTTACACTCATTCCAGTTCCACACCTAATAAATATATATAACCCATTAATGCTAGTAAATAAAATGCAAATGTCACAAAATTCAAATGTATTGCCATGAATGTAGAATTTTAAAAATTTGCACACTTCATTTTTTGACAATAAATTAAATGAATTAAGAAAACTAATCCTTACTTTGTAGTCTGCACCAGCTGTTTACTGAGTCACACTGCTTTAGGAAGAAAACATATTGAAATGATAATAAGTTTCCCTATTGGATAAAGTTGTGTATATATATATATATATACTACTACTACTACTACTTGAGTCAGTGAGGATTCCAAGAAATACCTAAAAGACCAATTAGTAACAAAGAATATTTTAATAATTGCAACTGGTAAAGTGGGGTGGTGGAAATATGCTAAAGCAGCTTTCAAGTAAATGGAACAGTTTGGGGAACAGACATGAAAATATTGGTAAGGCATGACACATGCTTTTTTTATTCAAAGTTGGTGGTGTACTTGTATTACTATCCACATTGTTAATGCTGTGCTTCTAGTTAAGCTATATATATAATCTGGTATACTGTCTATGCTTCAAGTTGTATAGCCTAATATCTGTGTATATGTTGAGTTGTATATTGTATAACCAAATATACTGTATGTATTTCATGTTATTGTAGCTTATTATGTTAATTATACTTCAATTTGAATTCAAAGAAACCTGATGAAACCAGTTCATGTGTTGAAAGTGCTAGAGCTTGCTTCCTTGGGTTTCTTTGAATTTGATTTACCTAACATTTTTGATCTTGCATGTTTTTATTATATATTAAATGGTATAGCCTACTATACTATGTATATATATGTGTGTGTGTGTGTTGAGTTGTTTAGCATCAAATATTATTTGAATGTTAAGTTGTATAGCCTAGTTTAGTATCAATATGTTGAGTTATATATATCACATACCATCTGCATGTTATATTAAATATATATATATATTTTGTATTATGAAAATTATTTTAGTTTGCATTGTCAGCATAAATTTAGGATTAACTTACAACTCTTAAGCTGGCCAAATCTTGTGAGCTATTATTGGGATTATAGCCCAAAATATCATTAACAGCCAGGATACCCATTTGATGAATCAGTGCATCCAATTATTATAAGTTTGTTTTATGACACTGTATACTCCTAGTTATATCCATGTATTAATTACTGGGTTATTTTTTACTACAGATCTGTGGAAGTTGGATGTTTTGATTTGAAGTTAATAGTAAATGCTATATATAGGTTAAGTTGTATAGCTTACTTTACTGTATATATACTGAAGGTTAGGCTAAGTTTAATTTTATGCAGTTGTTTCATTATTTTAAACTTTAGGTTCTGCTGCTTGTTTTAAATTAAAACTACTAAAACTAAGTGTTACATGCAGTGCAAGACAAATTTTGTGATTTTACTGCTATGTTTACAGCTTACTGTATGATTATGAACTCTGTTTTAATCACTTTTACAGTGTAAAGCTTGGTTATCTGTGTTTATGTTTTGAAATTACATTCTTAATGTTTAGGGTTGAAATTAAAGTTTATTGTTCTTACTTTGTTTATATTACAGGTAATTTATTGTTATGTAAAATATTTTTAATTTTAATTTTAGACAGTTTACAAACAGCTGTATTTACTATTTTTAAATGAATACAGAATACATATTGTATTCTTCTTTTCAGAATATAAGCATTTCTGTTTATAAAATGAGCATTAAAAAAGAAGCAGTGTCAAAGTTGTAAAGTTTGTTTATATATTTTTTCTTTGCTGATAAGTATTTATAAGGTATTGTGTAGCTTTTGAGGTTATTATAAACAGATTATATTCTCATAAATTTCTTAAAACATCATGTTCTTTTAGATATTGAATATATTTATGGTCATTTATTGCATCTGTTTCCTTTTTCTTGTATGGGGATCCAGAGATTCCAATATTGACAGACTAAATGGTAAAATTTATCCATCAATTATGTATCATAAATAGTGTTAGACTTGCAAACTGGTTTGTAAGTAGCTTGTATTTTATCATAGTAAATCTTTGTTTTCAGCTTTACAAGTTCCAGTATTTGTGTGAAGATGGTGTGTGGGGCGTAAGAAAGGCATGTGCTGAAGTTTTCATGCCAGTTTCTTGTGTGTGTTCTATGGAAACCCGCAGAAAAGAACTGGCCCCTTTTTTGTTTCCCTACTATGTGACCAGTCTCGATGGGTAAGTAAAGTATATTTTTATTATTAAATCAACTATTTTATTGGAAATTTTTTTGCTCAGTGTTGTTCTAAAGAGTAAAATATGTAATTGAGTTTCTCAAAACAATTTATGTTTGACTTTTAAAAATTCTAATAACTTTGAAACAGATCTTGAATTTCAAATGTATTAAGAGGTGATTTAAGCAATATATGGCTGATTATTTATTTTTATTTCAATTAGGTAAGAGTAGCAGCTTTTCAAGCCTTAGGTCCTTTCATCTCAACATTTGCAGATCCTAGTAAAACAGGCATTTATTATAGCGAGAATGGAGTTATTACAGTTGAGGAAGAAGTAGAAAGTACTACAGAGGAAAAAGAGGTTTTATCTAATGAAAATAATCTTAGCAAGGAAAAATGTTATTCTTTAGACTCTGGAGGTAGAACTGATCCAGACAATCCACAAAGTTGTATAGAAAGTGATAAATCTGATGCCATTCAAAATGTACATAGAGAAAGTTTAAATATTATAAATCCTGCTGTGCTAGAAACTGGTGTTTCAGAATTGGAGGAGTTGAAGGTGATTTTAGAAGATGGTGAAGGTTCCACCGGTTGTGAGGATAGTAACAACAACATATTTCAAATATTCTCTGGCCAAGAAAATGGTGTGGAGATTTCACTGGAGGAAAAGTTAGCTGAACATTACTTCCAACACAAACCTTCAACAGTTATATCCAGTCAGACATCGAGTAGTCATGGGTTAAGTGAATCAGAAAGCTTTAGTGATGCTGGTAGCTCAGACCTTGTAATCACAGAAGGCATACAAAGCGGACAAGAAAGAGTTACAGAATCACCAGTAACTATGGCTTCAAATGATGAGCACCTGCACTTAAGAATTGACAGTGAAAATGCTTTCAATGCCTTTCAGTTTTGGAGGATCCCCATTCCAGAAATTGAATTGGATATTGATATTAATGGAAAAACCACCAATATCCATGTGAGGTCTAAGGTGCATGACACTGAACACCAACAGATCTGTTCTTCAGACTTGAATGTGAAGCTTGTATCACTACAAAGTATTAGCAATAGCCAATCATCTGAGATGAATGCTCTCACAGAAAGTAAAACTTGTAATAAACTGGGCCAGACTTCTAGGTAAGGAAATTTTCCCTACCAAATAGGTAGCCTCAGGTGTCATTTACTTTGTATTCTTATGGTGGAAATAATGGTTTTCAGAGGCATTGCAAGGCACTGGCACATTGGGCCCATGGCCCGATTCTACTTGAAATTATCCTGAATCCCTAGTTGGTGTCTTGAAAAATCAGAATAGAAAACCATGATTAATATTATACTGAAATGCTGAAAATTCCCATGCCCATGGGCCTGAGCCCCAAACCTAGCAATGCTTCTGATGGTTTTCACTTTTTTTCTTTTTACTGTGAGTATGGTAATGGAAAATGGTTTAAAAGTTGAAAATTAGATAGATCTTGGAAATTATGTTTTTAGAGAATAGTTGTAGAATTTGCCGTAGTAACATTATATGACTGATTAGTTTTAAACAAACTAGAGTTTTTATGTTTAATGAGAAAGTTAGAGTGAATTTTTTTTAATGCTTAACTAAAAATAACAAGTCTTTTTCAATGAGGCAAATCATATAAAATAAAGACATTGTTAGAGGTCATTTGGTTGATCCATGTAGGGGACACATATATAAATTTTGGCAGGGTAAGAGCCATCTTCAGCTAAGACAGTTTTATTTTTATAACAGGGTGGTTGGCCTTTGGAATGGGTTGCCTTCAGATGTTGTGGAGGCAGTAAATTTAAGTAAGTTTAAGAGAAAGCTTGATAAGTATATGAATGATAAGGGCTGGCTTTAAGATTTTTTTTTAAATCTATTTATTAATAACTTCAATTTAGTTTAAAGGATGGAACAGCCGAGATGGACCAATAGGTCCCATGTTGTCCTAAAATATTATGTTAGTGATTAGTTACTAATATAATGTGGTTTTTGAATTAACTGTGATATCTTAGTAGTGAGTGAAAAGGCTTTCTAATGCTTCTTCATTCAGTAAAGCTCATTAATAGTCTTTTCTATTTCATATTAGTAATTTTATTTTCTCTTAACCCTTTCCAGACAGGTCAAGGGTGAAAAATCCTGTCATCTCGTTTGTTGACTCGAATTCAAAATTTTATTGAAGTACTATTTCATAAATTTTTATCAATAAGTTTGGTAACAAACTGTAGATTATAATTCAAATTTTAGTACTATACATTATTCAATTTCTTAATTTAAATGTAAATATAAAAAAAACACAGTTAAACATTGATTTTTGTGTGTCATGTGGTATGTTGAATGCAGTACTGGTTCAAATTATATGTTTGTGTCAAAATAGTAATTCTATAGTTTCATACAAATTAGGAACTCAAATTACAGATATTAACAAGCTAGAATGAAAAATAAGACCTCATATCTTTTCATTTTGCTAAGATATTGCTCATGTAATAAACCTCTTTCCATTTTTGGAAATGCTCCCTTATATACACATACTTCTATTAGGTTGTTAAGAAATTAATGTCGCGTTTTGGAACACTTTCATTAACTATTCCCCAAAGAACGTACATCAAGTATAATAGTTAAACGAACTGCCTAAACACCATGTCAGTGCAGCCTATATAATGTGTAAAGTTTGGT